CTGAAAGGCTACCTAACAGAATGCCGTGATTTAAGAACGCTAATTTCGTGATCCACTGGCATAGTTTGGGCCTGATCACTAAGGGATGGGGCAGATACGATGCTGTAAGGGAAATTCATTTGTACGGGCAACAGTTGTCTTGGGCCAAACTAAAGTCGCTGCCAGCGTGTCTTTCGCCCGCCTTCCGGGGAGGTGTGAGTCAGCACACTTATGTCACCAAGGTGTTATCGCCTATGTGAACCCACGTGACCACGCGTTCCTGTGGCATGCTGTCACCATTGTTCTGAGCCATATATAAGTGCTCGCCATGTTCTCGGCCAAGGTCGCCGTGCCACATGCCCCCCACAAGAAAGACTACGTCTCATCTGCCCGCTGCCCGTCTCTTCTTTCCACTCCCGGAAGCTCCGGTGCACTCGCGGGCCACAGAGCCCCCTCCCCACAGAAGCAAATAGAAGTTGTTTTAGAAAATGTTTCGGGAGAGATGGTTCCATCCAGTTTGGGAGGGTCTGGGAGAGCAGCTAGAAAGGACTGCAGAAGCTGGCTGAGGACAGATTTGTCAAGAAATATTTGCAAAGAGGCTGTAGCTGGAAGTCACTCTTTACACCGTGATTTGCGCCCGTAACTACAGAGCGCGAGCTGTGCGGATGAACCGCACCCAGAGAGAGAGAGAGGGGGAAGCCTAGCAATCGCCATCTTGGCAGGAAGCCTCCTGCCCTCCGCGAGTTCCTTCCACACAGTTCTTCACTATTTCATCCCTGTTAGGATCAGGCTGGAAAAGAATTTTCAGAGGTCTAGAGAGTTAAAAGATGAGTTAAAAAGTGTTTTGCATTCCATGTGTTGGCTGAATGGAGTGCTCCTAGCTGGCCAGGAAAACAAGATAAGGGAACAAAAGGTAAGGAGAGGAAACCAGTAAGGATGAAAAAAAAAATAAGGAGAAATAGGGAAAGTAGCAGCAATTTAACCAAAAACCTCCAGAATTTAAAAATCTGGTCTTATAAAAATGTTAAAACACAAAGCAACAATTCTATTATTATTTTTTATTATTATTATTTGCTGGTATTATTTGTTTTCACTGAAATATTTTCTTCACTATATTTCTTTTTTTTTTTTTTGAGACGGAGTCTCACTCTCTTGCCCCGGCTAGAGTGTCGTGGTGTCAGCCTAGCTCATAGCAACCTCAAACTCCTGGGCTCAAGCGATCCTCCTGTCTCAGCCTCTCGAGTAGCTGGGACTACAGGCACACGCCACCATGCCCGGCTGATTTTTTTCTATATATTTTTAGTTGTTCAGCTAATTTCTTTCTATTTTTTTTAGTAGAGACGGGGTCTCGCTCTTGCTCAGGCTGGTCTCAAACTCCTGAGCTCAAACGATCTGCCCACCTCGGCCTCCCAAAGTACTAGGATTATAGGCGTGAGCCACCACGCCCCGGCCCTCTTTACTGTATTTCAAACAATGGAATTTCAAAACTCTCATTTATAGCTAATGGCTTTCTTTGATGTTCCATTTTCTTCTTCAGCCAACCTTTCTAATCTCCAAAGCCGAGTTCATCTATTAAACTTGCAACTTATTCGCCCTGTTGTGGAATGTCAGAGGAAACCCTGAAACCGAATCAGAGCTTCCTCCTTATTCCCTCATTCATTCAATAAATACTTATCAAGGGTCCTCTCTGTGCCCCTAAACACCATCAGTGCTTGAGATGCAATCGTGAGCAAAACTCATATAGAGTTCATGGTCTGGGAGAGAAGGCAGACATTAATCAAATTATCACACAAATATGTATTATAACAAACTGTGTTCACTTTAGGTCACATGATGGGATTGCGGGGGCACTGAGCTAGTCTGGAGGGTCAGAGAAGGCTGCCCTCAGGAGCTGTGCTCTGAACTGAACTCTGAAGGGGTTAACTGAACTAGGCTGGGCTGGGCAGTTAGTTGGAGGGAACTGCTTATGCAAGGCCTTAAGTCTGAAGGAGGGTAATATATTTAAGGAACTTTACGGCCTGTGGATGGATCAAGGGAATGAAAGAAGAAAATGGCCTCCAGAGTGAGAAGGTGATCATGGAAAAATGACATTCCACTGTTCTGAAAAGTCCATCGCGGAGGGGGGTGTCACTTTGGTCTAGACACAGAGGACATGGTGGGTGTAGCACACTATTTGGTAACTGTGTCTAGCTCTTCCCTACCCTGGAGAGTTATAACCTAGATATTTTTTTTTTTTTAAGTCTAATGATGTGCATTTTTGCTTTTCTATTATTTTAAGCAAAATACTGATTTTTTTACTGCCAAATAGCAAAACAAGAGCCATGTCTTAAAAAAACAAGCCAATCAAAAAGCCAATATATGTATGTTCCCAGAATTTTTTTCACATATTGAATCTGAGTTTAAAATAAATTTAGGCATAAATTGGCTCAAGAGAGAATTGCAAAGATAACAACAATAAGGAAGTAATTAAGGATTTGATATGTTGATTTTTATTTGCACATACCCTACCAAAAAATTCTAACAAATACACCCTGGTGGTTTTTGTTCTCGCTGCCCTGATATATAACAGCTTCAACAATTCCATTCTCATATCTGGAAGGGCTGCTGCTCCGAAATGTTATCATCACCCCAAAGTCAAAAGCCATTAAATGTCCATTTCTAAAATACAAGGCTTATATTCATCTTGGATGATGTCATTTTGTCTGGGCTTCTGTGTTCCCAAGGAGAACAACTTGAAATAATCAAGACTACAGTGCGCAAACTCCCAAGATGACCAGTTATAAGGTACAGTATGTGCATGTTTCCTGACTTCTCTCAGAAAGGTGTGAGGTTAAGGGGAGAGGAGAGGTGAAGGTGAATGGTAAGCAAGAGATTAAAGTTAAAAATAATAATAATGATGCGGTTACAGAATAAATTGGTGCCTTGAAATTTGTTTCTGGGAACAAAATTTAAAGCATTCAACATTTCTGTTAAATATATGAAAATAGGTGCCTCACTGCTTATATATGAAAGAGATGAGCAAAATACTATAAACTGTAACTGCAGTGTTACTGTTTACTTGGTGCACTGTTTCTCTGCTTTTACAGAAAGGGTGTGCGTTCCCAGTTAGAACGTATCCGATCGCATCTTCACTATGAATAAAGCCTTCTTGGCCGAACATTGAATTCCTTGCAAGGTGGTGATTTGTGCAGAAAAGAAACCCCAAATCCTACATCACTATGTGAAAAGAACGGATCGGATTTAACTGTTTTTCTTCACCACCACAACAGAAATAAGGAAATAAAGAGTTCAGTCGTTTTAGAGTATAATTTGGCTAAAACCACAGCTTCAAAAATTAAAACCCTAAACCATGTTGCATGTTGAAAAATGTAAATTGTCAATGAATACTGCACTGTATCAGTTTCCTTTTCCAGTTGGCCCACTGCCAGGTTGACAACAACTCAAGAGTGACAAAGAGGTGCAGACATGAGTCTTATGTTAAAAAAAAAAAAAGAAGAAGAAGAAGAAGAAGGGGGCTTCATTTTCTAAATACTTTAGTGAAAATTACCATTCCATTTGGGACCAATTCAGTCCAGGTGCTAAGGACAGAATAAACAGGCAACACATGAAGGCAGAAAAAGTCAGGTTCTATGGGAATTACATTCTTGGTTACATTTAAAACTAAATTTCGAAATACAAATCAATATAACCATGATTGCACACATATATTCTCCTTATGGTTTTAAAAATGTTAATCTTTCTTTCTCACATCATAAAATAATGTAAGTCAAAGCCTAGAGCCTGTTGCAACTCTTTTTAATTTCTTTCTGCTGCAATTTTAGGCTGAAATGGTTGTGCCTTAATGCTTTCCTTCTACCCAAGATCCTAACGAGCCTCCTTTTGGGCTTACAGGATCCGCCTTATACTCTGATTAACAGTAATTTTACTTTTGAGGAATAATGTCTCCTAGAACTTGGGGCATGGATTCAGCACAAACATTCTCAACTTTCTTTCCAATGTTAGTTTTAATATCTTTATATTGACAATATACCTGTGCCTTCTTTATTCTAGGTATTATGACCTTAGTACATCAACTATAAAACACATATAAAACAAAATTCCACCTGATACTTTCACCCAGGAAGGATGTATGGGACCTGACTTTCTACTTACCAATAGATTTCACACCACGTACACATCAAAATACTAACAGTAGTTTTCTCTGGGTAGTGAGTTTATAGGTAATTTTAAATTTTATTCTGTGTGTGTTAAAGAGCAAAAGATCTTTCCAGAATTCTAAAATGAACACGTATTACTTTTATAATTCGGAAATAATCTAATTGTAAATTTTTAAGGAAACTATAAATAGAGCTTTAAAATTCATCCAAGTGACAATCGTTGCCCTCCCGAAGCTTACATTCCAAGAATTATATATAATTACATGGCCACACACGACAGGCACAATTACCACTCCTTGAAATGCTGAAGGGCAATCACATGGTGAAAGTGGCTTTAGTTCTCGGAATTATTTTAGTTGATAGTTGCTCCGATGCTGTTTTCTAAGACACTAGAGAAAATTCCAGACGATTGTTTTTAGACATACAGACACTCATTCTTGAAGCGATTATTCGGGTGTCGGTGACATTTTCATCCATTTACAGGTAAAATATCAAACTCAAGAGAGGGAAGACAAGATACTTATATTTTTTAAATATAAAAATATAAACCTGGTTTATTAACAAATGGTAGGGTGGCCATGTCTAGTTTCTCCACGTCCGTGTCCCTTCCCTTGTGGAAGCACTCCAGCTCTGATCAAGCGGCAATGGTGGGACCGTGGATCACAGTACTAAACCCGCGGCCCATTTCTCCAGATTCCCGTCCCCACTGCTCCCCCTGCACTCACTCACACAGTTACGGCCACATGGCTCTGCCTGGCCAAAGGGCACCCGTCCCTCTGGCAACAGTGACTGAAGGTCAGTCAACTTCCTTTCCTGGGATTGATCTACAATCTCTGGAAGAAAAGAGCTCTCTTTTTTCATGGGTTACTCTTCTGGAATGACATAAACCAGGAGTGTCTGGGAAGGATGAGGGGTCACACAGAGGCAGCGGTGATAGGAAACAATGAGGACACTACCTAAAAGGAAAAAAAGCGTGGAGGATGCAGAGAATCCCAATCATGCTGTTGGAGCTCCTGCCTCGACTCTCCTAAATACAGCTCTATCTCTGGACTTCCTGTAGAAGCAAATATGAAAGGCAAACACCAACCGAAAAACATATTAGCAAAAGAGATAACTAAGTGTTAATAACCTTAATAATTCAAGTGCTCTGATTTTAAATGATTAAGCAAAAAGTGAATGACTCAGTAGGAAAAAAAGGAAAAGGTCATGAGCAGTAATCAATACAATGAAATTTATATGTGGCCTCTATATTCTTTATGTTTCCAAATTCTCTACAATGAGAATGTACGACTATAATAATTGAGAAAAAAGCTTAAGGTGAAGGCATTAAAATATAAAATTCATTTTAAGAACGCTGTCCTAGTATCAGTATGCACGATGAAAGGGTGGGTAGGCATGGAGTCAGGATATCAGAGAGAAGGCCAGAGGGTCAGTGCATGTCTGGGGATAAAGAAGCATCTTTGGGCAGACACGAGCAGCATCCCAAAGGCAGTAAAAATGGGCTGCCGGGTGTGGCCGACTACCATAGGGGGTGAAGGAGAGTCAACGTCTCCATTGCTTCCCTCCAAAGATGGCGGTGTATCCATGAAAAAGACAGAATAGCACTGAGGAGGAGCTGATTTGGAAGTAGGAGAGTGAGTACACTGATTCAGATAAAAATAAAAAGCACATGAAGCTAGAGCCATAGAATAGAGAAGGAAGAGAAAGAACTAGATTTGCCTAATACAAGATCCTTGTTTTATGATGAGGATATTGAGTGTGCAGCAAGCTCAGCGACGTTCAGGTCACACACCTATGGGCATATTTAGGAGTAAAAATTAGGCCTTCTCCCCACCGTTCTCTTTTCAGTCACACGACACCATCTCTGCTACCGGAGCCATAGCCTGCATTCAGGAAAACTACCCCTGTATTCCATTCTGGTTCAACCTTTCCATGATTGAGAAACTTATCTCACATCTAACATATAGTTAATTAGAACCAGTAGTAACTAATCTCTTAAATAATTAATCGTATAGTCACGTAAACAATTATTACTGTTGGCCTTGTGTGCAGACACAAAAATTAGTGACGTGGACAGTGTGTCTCGTGCATTTGTGCACATACAAATATCAGCGCAAGAAGATCCCCTCTGGTGTCTCAGTTAAGAGTAATCATTTTTATGATGCGGCATGGAAAAATTAAGTACTTGAAAAAGTAATTTGTAATGATCCCTTAATATGTTACTAAAATTATTTAACTAGCTACCTCAACAGGCAGCTCTAAATATCTTTCTAAACAGCTTGTGATACATTTTAAGAATTATTAAACATTTGAAACTTCACTTGACATAGCTGTTTAGTAATATATGCTGTGGTTAACTATTTTAGTATGTTGGATAATAAAACTAAATGTAACAGTTCCAACATTTCTCATGGGAGTGATTTAGGGCAGACATATGTTCTTCATCAGAGTTGCTAGCAGAAATCTCAGAAACCAAGAGGAAAAATAGACTCTGTTATACCAAACAGTGTTGCAAACCATAATGGAAAACAACAATCTTTAAAGCTGTTTTTTTGGTATTGTCTTGTTTTGTTTTGGCAGCCCTGAAACAAGAAATCTGAAACTCTAGAAATGAAGGTGTATTCCTTAATATAACAGTCTCATACTGGGATACCATAATAAATGAGAATCGATAAATTAGGACCAACCAATGAGGCAAAATCCTTTCTGAAACGAACTTTTGCCCTACATCCTGAAGTCTTCCTTTGGCTGAGTGGCTGGATTCTATAGCCAGGGTTTTGTCCACCATCGCCTACTGTAATCAGCTAAAGTTTTCATTCAAGTGTGGGTAACATGAAGACCGGTGATGGACTTTTAGGATCATTCTTCCAGTTACCATAGCAACATCCTTGTCATCACCAAGGCAGGAGGCATGCTCAAGGTTTAAGGAACAGTTTCTCAAGGGAAAGATATTGAAACCTTGCAAACTGTGTTTCAGTTGGAATAGTATCATTGGGAGTAGAAATATGCAGGAAATATATATTCTGAAATTTGATGAATTACTGAGGGAAAACTGTGAGATGAGGGAAGAAGGCAGAGGTGATAGTAAAGGAAGCATAAGAGGAGAATTTCATATTAGCTCCTCATCTTTTACAATTCTCTGTTTGGAAATCCTTGATATTAATATTTTACTAAGAAGACTGACTTGCTGCAAGGCTGGGGAAAAGTAATTGGCCAAGTGTGAAAAATACTTTGAAAGACATACCTTCTCTAACATAATAAACAAAATGTCAATGCCTTGTGCTAATGGAGATGGAAGCTTTTATAACTAAGTGGCAGCCATTAATATTTTATAAACATATACTATGTTTACCTGAACACTTCGAAAGAGGAAGACTATTATAAACAAATCACTGCAAATCAGTTTTTTCTGTTGCTTTTAGAGTGTGGCCTTGTTTTACTATGGATAAGAGCACATGTATGCTTTCCATTAAAAAGTAGGTCTGAAAGTACCATGAGCTGCCTTCTGCAACCCAATCTAAAACAAATCCTCAGCTCCTTCCTCATTCACAGTTGATGAAGATACCATCCTCTTTTAGATTTCTACTGGGGAATACAAGAGAAGCCCAGATGAGTGTTTTCCATTCATCCATCCATGGACATTTAGGTTGCTTCCACATCTTGGCTATTATGAATAGAGCCGCAGTGAACACCAGAGTGCTAATATCTTTTGGAAACAACGGAATATTATTCTACCTTAAAAAAGAAGAAAATTCTACAATATGTGACAATATGGATGAACCCTGAGCACTTACATTGCGTGGAATAAGCCAGTCACACGAAACACACACTGCATGATTCCATTGACACGAGGTATCTGAAGCAGGCGAATTCCCAGAATCGGAGAGCGCAGTGGTGGTTGCCCAGGGTGGGGAGAAGGGAAACGCAGTGTTGCTTGCTAATCCATAGGCATAAAGGTTCAGTTATGCAACAGAGTAAGTTCTAGAGCTCTGCTGTACAACACTGCTCCTATGGTTAACAATACCGTATTGCACACGCAAACATTTGTTAAGACGGTAGACCTCATGTTAAGTGTTCTTACCACAATAAAATAAAATTTTAAAAAAAGAACAGTACTTTCTAAACCAGACCTGTCTTTCCTCAGGTCTGTTCCTGTTACATGTGGCTAATCTTAAACAGGCAATGGACGGGTGAGAAGAAATAGAGAAGAAAAAACCTAGGACACAAAAATACTTTAAAATAAAAACTTTTTAAAAGTTGAAGAAAATTTTAATAAGCATGGTCCACTATAAAGATAATTTATACATTTTATGCAAATCAATGTGAAGTTTTTGATTATTCCAGTTAGAGTAACAGGAATCTCTGTGCCATTATTTTATGCCAAAGTTTCGGGAATTATAACACATAGCAAAGGAAGCACAGCTCTAGTTAGAAAAACACTACCTTCACAGAACTTGAAGAGCACTTATATACCTTTGCACAAAACTTACTCCCCACATTCCCATAATTTAAAGTCTTAGAACTCAGGTGGTACAATTCCTACCACTGCATAAGTCCCAACATCAGTTCCCATGCTAGAAAGCTCTTCTCATGGGGTGAGTCAGACCTTCCATCTAGCTTTAGTTTCCAGAGATATCTTCTTTATGTTAAATACAAAACTGCCTCTCAGCATTTTCTGTCCAATAGACAGAGTTCTGTGAGAGGTCTACTTCCACTTAGATGGCAGCTTTACAGAATCTATTTGAAAGAAAAACCTGTGCTACCTAACTACTAACCTTATGCCAGATTAAAATCTAAACAAATGCAATTTTTCTTCTTTTAGTTAGAAGAAGTCAAAAAAGGAGATGATTAAGGAATTCTATTTGGTCAGACCCAGTACAGGAACTGAAAGTCTCCATTGATACATATCACTTAATACCAAGTCATCACAACATTCATTTTTACACATTTTGGATACTTCACTAATACTTGGTATAATATTTATTATGTTGTTTTACCTTGTTTTCTGTGTTAGTCTTGTCTCTAAATGTCTAAGTTCTTTGAGGAGAGACATGGCCGGAGGATGATGATGATGATAACAATGACAAAATAACAATAACGATAACGATGATGATGTAGATAACATACACTGACGACACATTATGCCCCAGGATCCTTGCCAAGCACTTTGACTATTTTAGCTCATGAGTTTGGTGCTATCACCATTTTATACATGAGGAACCTGAGAATCAGTGAGGTTAAATGACCTACTCAAGAGCACACAACTACTAAGAGTCAGAGGCAGAACCAGAACCCAGATCCACCTGACTCCAACTGCTGTGCTCAGAGCCTCTGCACACTACTACCATGGTTGCCAGGTTTTGATGCTTACAGAGCTTAGACTTACATAGACGTGTTCAGTAAATATTGGTAAGCTGAAAATGTTTGTGCTGTAAGTCCACTGATACCAACACACAACAGATCATTATTTCAGTATACACTATAAAAAAATTTCAATTTTATAACTGTAAAATTAAAACACTCTGAGCATCATTCCACCTTCAAGTATATTATCTTGCCTTAGAATTTCCTCTGTCAGGGAATTCTATAATGATGACTGTAGAAAATTACAAGTTTCTTACCTAATATCCATTCTCACTTCCTTTCTTCTAAGAGAATCCTCACTTTGTTCATGACAAATACAAGCCCAGTTAAAAATACACACTCATCAGATTCTCTTGCAGCCAGAGGTGAAACCTAGTTTTAGCCAAGGGTGCAAGTCTTCTGGGTGGGGCTTTCAAGAAAGCTATTGTTTTCCTGATAAAAAAGAGCAGGCTCAGCTAGTGTATGCCTTTCCCCTTCACCCTTCCTCCCTTCCTGCATAAACATGAGCAAATGCCTGGAGAAGTGCCCATTATGAAGATGACAAAACCACACCTTCAGGAATTGAGGAAGGAAGTCAGAAAGAGCATAGACTCTGCCTGTCTCTGAACTTCTTGCTGAGAAAAATAAATCCCTATTTGTTATGATAATTTGGTAAATTTTTCATTACATATATCTGGGTATCGTAACGTATTCAATGATACAGTTATTGATCATTCCAAATTATCAACAGGAGGTGAAATAAGAGCTTAATAGATGTAAATTACAGTTCCTATGGTATCATCATGCCTTAGCGCTCTGGTTTGCTCCTAACAGGCTACAGGTGTGCCAAGCTGCTGCTTCGCCTCAGTCCACGGGTGAACTGAGTAAGGCCTAGAGTGGCCAGAGCCCCCAGGGCTGGTTACCTCTGACCACAGCAGTCTCCCACTGGGAATTATCTCAGTATGCTATGCGAACATTCTCCTCGGCTACGTGCACCACAATGTGAAAAAGCTTGGGAAGCACCACCCTATATGACAGCTGCTAGATGTTATTAAAATAATAATGGTGATGGGGGAAGAAATTACCTATTTACAACACAATATGAACCAAAAATTCGTTAACACACATAACACCGTTTTATTCTCAGCAAAATCATAAGGAGTCAATAGGCAGTTTTGTTTAATAACAAGGTTCAAGGATGGTTGATTTGCCCACCAACACACTCTGCTAGGAAATGGCAAAGCAAGGACTTTTAAATCAAGGATTTCTACATCCAAACACTATGCTTTTGCGGATACACCTCCCCACATGATGGCATTGCAAGTTTATACAGCTCTTTTAAAATAGCATTTTGATTTCATTCTCTGAAGAAAAGTCAAACAGTTTTCCTTTGTTTTCTCTTGTGACTGCCATGCAAACCCTAACGTATATGGAAACTGATACCCTCTTTGAACTTAGCAGGACTGAGAAAGCATAACGCTAATCAACATATTCAGGCTGGACCAATTTTCTTTTTCCAGCTTCCTACCCCCAACATTCAGAGAGCCAACTCTTTTGTTATTTTATGTGAGTAGAAAAGCGTTTTTGCCCACCACTCTAGAAATCTCCCCAAAAGTACCTATTGAAGAGAGCAGATTAAAAAGAAAATGGTATGTTGCCATTGAGCATGCTTAAGGTTTTGTTTTGTTTGGCTTTGTTTTACCAATCACAGTTTCTTATTATCCTTTCCATACAAGGGAAGAATATAGGGAAATGAAAGAAATTGTCAAGAGCAGACTGCATATTTAACAGATAAAAAGGAATATGAATTTTAAGCACATGACAATCATTGTCAAGAGATATTATTGAAATAAAGTGCAACACTGCAGGCGTATTCACTGTTAAAGCCAGGCTAACTTAGTTCCAGCATACGCTGAGCAAATTTGGAAGGCAATTCAATTCTTCCAATGCATACTGGAATATCCCTTTGTATTCTAGAAGACCGAGGCACCTCTGCCCCAATACTATGCTGTTACTTTTTATCCTGAGATATAAGGTAAATATTCTTCTCAGCAGCTAACTATAAACATAAACCCTTCTTTTCAGGACATGTGACTTCTCAACATACTTCGTAAGGGGTATGTCTATAGTGGCCAAGTAAAAGTCTTTCTTCAGAAATAAAGACCTTTTGGTGTCCCCAAAAGTTGATACATGTGTGTGTGTGTGTGTGTGTGTGTGTGTGTGTGTGTGTGCGTGCATGCTTATGTTCTAGTGGTAAGTTTACTTATGTCAAATTTAAGCAACGCATCTCCTCTACCCTGTTTAACCTGTATATCCAAAGTTAATCTAGGCAGGAATGTATACTTGGTATTATAAATTAAGATGTCTCTAAAATTTTAAAATGCATCAAAATTTCCACAAATTCTTATTTTTAATCTTCAACTATTGAGCTTACAAATTTTCCTAATATAAACAAACATGAATGCACGGAAGTATTTTAAAAGCAAGAAAATGCAATATCCTGAGCAGAGAGAAACCAGTAAAAAATGAAACGCTGTGTCAGTGAACACCTAGAGTGAATATTAAATGGAAACTCTTACAGCATGACTTCAATTCCAAAAATAGCATAGCAACATACAATTGTTACAAAAGAGCTATCCAAATCACCTCAGTCAAAACACCATTCTCGTTAACTGTGGAATTATGTATCTCAAGAATGATTTCTACTTAAATTCTCCTACCATTCAAATTTACTGTATTAACCATTTTAAACCTTTCTAAGTCAATATATATTTGCAGCCAAACACGCACGTAATCACATACAGTGCTGTACTTCATGAAATGGGAACAAATTCTATGAGTTTTTCTTGAGTAGGTTTTAAGTTGGCAAACAGGTTCTACACTAAGCAAGGAACTGTTTCATTTCTGTGGAAACTTCACTCAGTTTCCTTCTTTTCAGGGTTCATTTTACGTAACAATAGCAAAGGTCAGTGGCGTACAAGGTCAGCGGCGTGCACACATGAAGTGCACGTGCTTGGGACACTGACGTTCACAGCTACACAGTCTGCCCCTGAGAAATCCACATTCTGCCCCAGTGAGGCCCAACAGTTGAGCCTTCCTGAATCTCCAGAGAGGTCTACACAGATCACGGATGCATCTGAACACACACACACACACACACCAATGACTGGAAATGTGGTATGTTTCTAAAGCACTCATGTTTTACACCTAAGTTTTAATAATTTCTCACTCTCATGTAGACACAGGCTCAATTCATAGTAATGGAAATCAGCTTGACATAAAATACAAATAATATTGAATTTGATATAAAATAGCACAAATAGATGCCTCCATGAGTTATACTGCAGTTCTTATTGGAAGTGAAAATAGTTAGATTTTATGAAATTTAATTATATATTTTCTCCAAATTAGCAGACTCTACTTTACCGGGATGTTTGGGTATTATTTTGGATAGTACCAATTAATTCAAATTCAAAATGAAATACGAGAAGTGAAAATATGAGACCACTCCTGAAAAATGGCGATTTCCAATCCTATAACATTGTATAACATATTAAAGAAACAGTTTTTTAAGTTTGAAAAGACAATCTCAACGAGAATATATCAATAGAAACCCTTTGAAGAGGAAGCCTTACATTTTATTTTGCCTTACAGATAACATTCTGCTCTGTGAGTATTTTGCTATTTTAACAAGGTCTTGGCTCTAAAGAATATGAATTCTGACACGCAGTTAGAAAGAAGGCCATCTCAGTACCATGCCTGGAAAAGAAACGTACTGCACTGAAACCCTCTGGTCCTATCGGCTGGCTAGCACTCAACAGGCCTCGTGAAATTCCAAACAACTCCAACGGAGATGGTTACATCCTCTTCCCGAAATGGCCTTTATTTCTAAGCCTGTTTTCTCTATCAGGCTGTTTGTGTCCTATATCTTTGTTAAACACTCACCTGTGAGTTTTTGCAGCAAAGGTGACAACTCAGACTCCTCACAAAAGACCTGAGCCAATGCTTTCTGCACTTTTTCTTCAGCGTCACCCAGGTCTTTGTCCGCTGTGAACTCTCCAGCGACAGAATAAATATATATGAGGAGGATGAGCAGCTCCTCAGGGCTGTAGTCGTCATTAGTCCTCTGATTTGAGGGCTTAATCATGGGCAACAGCTGATTTAATACAACAGACATCGCCGACTCCCCAATGCTCTGAAATAAAAAATGATAATATGAAAATAAGTCAATCTTATACAAAGACAGAATGTATGCACCACATTAGCCCACAGATAGCTTGCAAACAAGTCTGTGATGTTCACTGACCACACTGCTTTTTACTTGTGTGTTTCTTGTCCTGGAGAGAATATGGCAAAAAGTTTGGCACTGGAGTTTTTCTTTAGAAAGACCTCATTTATAAAATGGCTAGACGAGTTGCAGACCCTATGATATCACCTTAATAGTGCTTAAACAGGAGTCCACTAATTTTAAAAATGAAAATGTAAATACTTCATACACATGAAATTTTAAATAAAAATAGTATATTTGTAAAATAATATGATTTAAAAAACAAACATGGCAGTGTCTATATATCCAAATGAATGCTGATACTCCTTCAAAGGAATCACCACAGATTTTGCAGCATATTCTTTTTAATAGTCTCTCTATTGGCAAATATTAGAATATTTATATCAACAAAAAGTCATTTTCTGCTAACTCTGGTGAACAGAATAAGGGATCAAACTGGGTAAAGTCACTTAGGGTTCAAGATTTCTTTGGGTGAATCT